GCGGAAGAACGGGCTAGGGCGACGGGCCAGGGCGTAGGGTCGACGGGACGGGGGAAAGGGCGGGCGCGATGCGACGGGGCAGGGCGACGCGACGGGGCAGGGCGACGCGACGGAGCAGAGGCGACGGGACGGGGAAGGGCGACGGGATAGGGCGACGCGACGGGGCAGGGCGACGGGACGGGGAAGGGCGACGGGACGGGGCAGGGCGACGGGACGGGGCAGGGCGACGCGACGGGGCAGGGCGACGGGACAGGGAAGGGCGACGGGACGGGGCAGGGCGACGGGACGGGGCAGGGCGACGGGACGGGGAAGGGCGACGGGACGGGGCAGGGCGACGGGACGGGGCAGGGCGACGCGACGGAGCAGAGGCGACGGGACGGGGAAGGGCGACGGGACGGGGGGAAAGGGCGCGACGCGACGGGGGGAAAGGGCGCGACGCGACGGGGGGAAAGAGCGCGACGCGACGGGGGGAAAAGGGCGCGACTCGACTGGGGGGAAAGGGCGCGACGCGACGGGGGGAAAGGGACGCGACGAGGGGGGAAAGGGCGGGCAGGACGCGACGCTAGGAGTGGCGCTAGGCGCGGCACTACGCGCGGTAACAACGAAACCGGGACGAATGAGAGCTAGGATCAGGCTCGGGAGGCTCGAACGGAGAACGGAGGAACGGGATCCCACAGGATCCTAACCTAACTGATACCATGTCAGAATGAAGAATGGATGGTGCATTGATGTTGGTTGGGGTACATATAGCTAACCCTAAGTTTTGTACCCCCTAAGACAAACCTCACTATAGGCTACAACATTTGACAATGTGTCAATGCTTGTCTGCATGCCCGTGCTGCAAATCCTGCACCATGGAACTTCCAACTCCTGTACTACCAGAATATTGTTCTTGGACAACGCTTGCTGCAAGTCAGTGCTTGTCGTCTGCATGCCCGTGCTGCAGGTCCTGCACCATGGCTTGCACAATCCCTGACCTTCCAAATTTTTGCAGCGTTGAAAGGGTGCAATAGCTGCAACTCAGTGCTTGTCTGCATGCCCGTGCTGCAGGTCCTGCACCATGGCTTGCACAATCCCTGACCTACCAAATTTCTGCAGCGTTGAAAGGGTGCAACAGCTGCAACTCAGTGCTTGTCTGCATGCCCGTGCTGCAGGTCCTGCACCATGGCTTGCACAATCCCTGACCTTCCAAATTTCTGCAGCGTTGAAAGGATACAATAGCTGCAACTCAGTGATTCCCTGCATGCCCGTGCTGCAGGTCCTGCACCATGGTTACTCCTGTCCTTCCAAATCAGTGCTGTGTGCAGGTCAGTGCTTATCTGCATGTCCGTGCTGCAGGTCTGCACCGTCTGCAGCTCACCCCCTTCTGCTGTAGCACCAAAAGCATATGTGTCAGTGTTTGTCTGCATGTCCGTGCTGCACATCCTGCACCATGGTTACTCCTGTCCCTCCACATCAGTGCTGGGGGCTACACTAGTTGCAGGTCAGTGCTTATCTGCATGCCCGTTCTGCAGGTCCTGCACCATGGCTTGCACAATCCCTGGCCTTCCAAATTACTGCAGCGTTGAAAGGATACAGTAGCTGCAACTCAGTGATATCCTTCATGTCCGTGCTGCAGGTCCAGCACCATGGCTTTTATCCCACCAACCAAGTCTGGAGTGGCGCTGCAGAAATTCATGCGCCCTGACTTGCACAATCCCTGACCTTCCAAATCACTGCAGCATTGGAAGAGTACAATAGCTACAACTCAGTGATTCCCTGCATGCCCGTGCTGCAGGTCCCGCACCATGGCAGTGTATTTCCAATTTTTTGCCTTTTGGACAACGCTTGCTCCAAGTTAGTGTTTATCGGCATGCCCGTGCTGCAGGTCCTGCACCATGGCTCTAACAGCCTTGCTGATCTGCTCCAACCGAGTGGCTCCCAGCACCATCTGCGCCTCCCCCTCTCCTCCTGCTGCACCCACAGCAGACGCATCGCTTGCTGCGCCTCTTGCTTCGTCCACCAGGCTTTCCGACAGCAGCCGGTGCCTTGCTGCGTCCTGCAAGTGGGGGGACAGTCAAAGGAGCACGGCATTAGGGAATGGAGAGAAGCAAAACTCACTTTTGCGACACCAGGCTTTCCGGCAGCAGCCAGTGCCTTGCTGCGTCCTGCAACCGGGGAGAGAGGAGGGGTGATACTAAGTGGGAAAACGATATCGCTCTTGAGAATCTAGCTTAGGCTTTCCGACAGCACCCAAGCCTTGCTGCGTGTGCAAGCCGGGATCGAGGTGGAATGATAACATCAAGATTTGATATCCCTCTTGCAACGCTAGCCTAGGCTTTCCAACAGCAGCTGATGCCTCGCTGCATCCCGCGCATGAGAAGACAGGTGAGGGGGCATGATACCAGGAAGTAGGGAGAACAGGCCATGTAACTTAGGCTTCCTTGTTAAGAGATCCAATTCAGCCACAGTCAGACGGGCAGATGGTAAAGGAGCTGGTTACAATTTAAGATGCCCAGTAACCACTCTACATGCTCTCACTACTTTACATGCTCTCAACATTCGCCATGCCCACACCATTTGCCATGCCCACACCATTTGCCATGCCCACACCATTTGCCATGCCCACACCATTTGCCATGCCCACACCATTTGCCATGCCCACACCATTTGCCATGCCCACACCATTTGCCATGCCCACACCATTTGCCATGCTCTCACCATTTGCCATGCCCACACCACTTCCCATGCTCCCCCTCTCGCCACTCGTCATGCTCGCATTGCACATGCCTCGATTGCCCATGCCTCACCATTCACCAGTCGCAGTGCTCCCACACTTGCTGCTGAGCCAAATCTTCAGTCGACTACTGTAAGAGAATTGCCTGTGCCTCACTACTCACCACTTGCTGCTAAACAGGAATATGAGTCGACTTAAGAAAAACCTTTGCCTCACCACTCACCGCTTGCTGCAGAGCCTCACCACTTGCCGTGCTCTCACCACTCAACTTGATTGCCCATGTCTAATTGCTCACCATTTGCTGCTGCGCCTCGCTTCTCACCACTTGCTGCTGAGCCCGGTCGCATGCGGCTTGAAAGAGGTCCACTCGGCTCTGAAACACCTCCAGCGCTGATGCCACCGCCACCTCACTGCGCTGCGCACTGGCGCTGCTTATAAAGGAGACAACGATGGAGATTGAGAAAACAAGGTTATTGGGATGAAGATGAGTACATGAGACGGAACCCAGGCAGGAAGACAAAAGATTAATTGGAGAAAGGGTGAAAAAAACGAAGAATAACATTGGGAAAATGCGTGATGGCCTGACTAAGGGCAAAACGGAAGGAACTGGGAGAGAGATGGGTAGAGGGAGGGAGTGTGAGGGAGGATAGCGTGCGTACCCTGACTGTGTGTCACCACGAGGAGCCGATGAAGCAGCCTCCACGAGCAGGGAGGCAGAAGCGAGCACCTCCTGGTCAGACAAGGGAGGGATGGCACACAAGGGGGGATGGCAGGGCGATAGGATGGCAGGGGAGGAAAAGTGATGGAAAGTGGGATGAGAGAGCGATAGGAGGAGGAGAGGAAGAGAGGGCGATCAGTGAGCGATGGGGGTGAGACGAGTGAACGACGGCCAGAGGAGATTGAAGCGAGACGAGAATGAGGTCAAAGAAAGAGTGGACAAGTCGAGTGGAAGGGTGTGTAACGCATGGCTGGAAGGGTGACGGAAAGATGGCGGAAGGATGACGGAAAGGTAGCGACGGGTGGTGGAAAGGTAGCGACGGGTGGTGGAAGGGTGGCAGAGGGAGGTGGAAGGGTGGCAGAGGGTGGGTGGAAGAGGGTGGTGGAAGAGTGGCGGAAGAGTGGCAGGGGAAGCAATGCGCGCTAGCCGTGCATGGAATGGCAAGACGCACATCGAATCGAAGGAACTCTGATGCGAGACAGCTATAGGATGGGTGAGATTGGAAAGGTGAGTGACGCATTACTGAAAGAGGGCGTGCGTCAGCAATGCATGGAATGGCAAGACGCACATCAAAAGAGCTCTGAAGGCGAGCCGCTATCGCATCCATCGCCTGGCGATTCTTCGCTGATAATCTCAGCCGTCCGTATCAGCTGTCCTCCAGTGGTGCAGCGGTGAGTGTCGGGCGAAGAAGCTGCTCGGAAAGGCGCAGAATGGAGGTACAGCGGAGCAGGGGAGGGGGAGTAAGGGGAGAGACAAAGCCGGAGCAGGAGAGAGAAAACGTCTCGCGACGGACGGTCCCTAGGCCGAGCAGGGGAGGAGGAGTAAGAGGAGAGACGGAGCCGCGAAGGACGGAGTTGGAAAGACTTGAATGACGGAGGCGACTCGTCGGACGCACGCGTGACATTTCAGGCGACTCATACGCATGAATGCAAGTTTTTTCTAATCCATTTCGAAATTATTTTCAGGCGAATTCAAAGCACCTCGTTACAATGTCACACGGCGTTTCTTTCAGTCAGCTCGAACCTGGTAGAATCTTTGTATCAACAAGAGACATACAAGCTGAGATGAAACGTACAATCCGATGAACGCGAACTTGCCGTGGACGTGGGGGAAGCAACGGGATGAAGTGAAGTCGGTCGAGGCTATATTTATACACTATGGCTGCGTCTATGATAATCCTACTCGTATTCTCTCCTTCGCCTACGTCACTCGACCTGGGGAATCGCGATAATGAACGTTGCCATGGCGTGCGATTATGAGTAGGGCTGACACGCCGTAGCAAATGTTCCTTGGGGTGCGTCCCCGATACACAGGGAAGGTAAATCCGCGACGAGATCCGTTGTAAGGAGAAGCTACAATACAGTTATCATCAGATACATATAGTTTCGTTTCAATGGGCATTTTCACGTCAACTCACATTCCCTACAAGATTTCTCAAGGAGCGCCAATCACAACTTATCCAAGCATAATCTCTGAATGCCGGTCGACAATCTGACAGGGTGAGGCACCATTCAATCCTGAAAAAATACCCCCAAGTTTCTTGAAATGACATTCCTCTATTTTCCATCACTTGTGCCCTCTAGCAAGCTGGGCAAGGTCACGCACGCTCATAGGGGTGATGGAATCCTGGCGGCCAACAAACGAGTTGCGAGCTAGAATGCGGTTGAGGGACTCCGAGGGGTGGAACTGGTCCCAGAACACCGCGTCCTGTGGGCGACTGCACTCAGTTGCGGTTACCTGGTTACCACCCAGGTTGGCCGTCGTACCGCACTGCACGAGCCCGTTGAGAGGAGGAGGGCCGCCGCAGCACGCGTTGCTGCCCTCCAGGAGGCCTGCGGGGGAGGGAGCGAAGCGTAGGATGAGCGTGAGAATAATTACAAACAAGCTGCCGCAGCAAGCGCTGCTGCCCTCTAGGAGGCCTTCAGGGGAGGGAGCGGGGAGAGGGGAGATGGCCAAGTGTGAGTCGTATGGTGACAGTGGTCTCTGTGCCACTATGAACAAGGTCTCAGAAGGGAGAAACGCCGGCTTTTGCCGATGGCCAGCAGCAGGGCAAGAAATTCGACTCACCAACAGTGGCAGGGTCAGCAACAGCTGTCTCCACAAGGCCGTACACCTTGGCGAGCAGAATCTGCGACCCCACCAGCTCCTCCCTCAGCCTCCCCACAGCAGCAGCCAGCAGACGGTTATGAGCCTGCGCGTACCCGTTCAGCACCGCCACACACCCCGCCTGCTGCAGCGCCTGCCGCCACAGCGGCGCACACCCGAACGGCGGCAGCTCCGACAGCAAAAACCGCCTCGCACCCATCCCATACAGCCCTCTCACATACACCTCAACCGCTCCCACCACCGCGGAAGCAAACTCCCGCGCCTGCTGGGAGCCCCCAGCGGCTAGCCTCGGGATGGTGCTTTCGTTGACGCGGTCTCCGAAAAAGAGGATCTGGTAGTCGTTGGCGCCGAGTCCAACGATGTGCAGCGCAGAGGAGAAGACGGCTGGGGACTTTGGGAGGAGCGGGTCGGCGCCTGCTTCTGCGTTCACGTCGGCCTGGAGCTTGGTGTACCACTGCAGCTGCTGCGATGCCTGGAAGGCCGGGAGGGTCTGCAAGGGAAGGGCGCAGGACACAGGGGAGGAGGGAATAATGCGGGGCTTGCGTGATGCTGCGATGCATAACAGGCAGGCAAGATTTGCTGCACGGGGTCCCGAATTACAGCGTATAAGCACATAAGCATGTGGGCATGTGACTCACGTATCCCGTGCGAGTTGACTTTGGAGTCGACTCAAAAGTCACCCCAAAATACAGCATGAAAGCATGTGGGCATGTGACTCACGTATCCTGTGATGTTGAAGCTGGCACCAGCGCTGGCGAAGCTTTTTTTTGAGTCGACTCAAAAACAGCATATAAGCATGTCGGCATGACGTGACTCACGTATCCTGTGATGTTGAAGCTGGCGCCAGCGCTGGCGAAGCTGTTTTTTGAGTCGACTCAAAAACAGCATATAAGCATGTCGGCATGACGTGACTCACGTATCCTGTGATGTTGAAGCTGGCACCAGCGCTGGCGAAGCTCACTCCGAGCGTCGCATTGCGGCCCGGCTGCAGGTACGGCGGGGGCGACCCGGGGAATCCCAGCCACTCCGCTGCACCGTGGAAACGGTGGGAGCGGGGGGATGTTGGTGAAGGTAGCAATACGGGATATTAGATTATCTCGCTCCTAAAAGCATGATGATGTTGCAAGCATCACTTACCGAGGTAATCGACGGTGAGCTTGCCGTCGCACACGCGGCCCGACGCGGGGATGTAGTTAGTGCCGTACGGCGCGAAGTTATTCTTGGGCCAGTCGGCCGGGCCGTAGTTGTTGTTCCCCACGTCCAGGAGCGAGTCGCCGAACACGAAGATCGCATCGATCGGGCCTGGCGAGCCGGGCGACGTCGCACGAGCCGGCCTGGCGACGGCGAGCGACGCTCCGAGAAGCAGCACGAGCATGGTGACAGGGCGAACGAGCTGGTGCGACGCCTGCGACATCTTGGCGACGTGCTGCTCGACGAGAGCGACTCACACGCTCGGAGTGTGATTGCGAGAGATCGAGCTAGAGCGACGAGTGATTATGGGAGGTGCAGTCGCAAGAATTGCTAAAGACGGGTGAAGATCCAATGCATAAGCTGGCCGTTTATACTATCATGACGACAACTGCGTCTCGCCATGGCAGATGGACTTTTCAGAAAGCGAAGCTCGAGTCGCGGTCCGACTAAGTCACAACCGCATGCATGAATCGCTGTGTTCCTGAATCGCAGGCTGAATCGCAGGCCGCACATAAGACCTTCCTTTCTCCCAAAGCGTATCCCTGGATGATCACTTACTCGTCCTGGAACCGATCGGACGGCCATGGATGGCCTCTTGTGGTCAACAAGCGCTACTACTAGCTGTAGCTGTAGCTAAACGGAAGTCAATCGCACTGCTGCGACGGTTCGTTCGTCTCACGAAGGGAGCGACTGAGCGACGAAGCGACAGAAGGCCAGCGAAAGTAACTGCGAGGCTGCCATGGTGCAAACGTCGAAAAGCGGTTCGTATCGTCAAGAATAATGGACGCTAGCACACAAACCTTCCAGGCAGGCGTCAAGGAATGGACGCTAGCACCTGGTCGGTGAGTACAGTAGCGGTTGCGCTGTATCGCCTGGTTTTGATCCTAGACCTAAAACTTTCTCGGACCTTCGCCATAGTTCCTAGAAAACAGACTAGATGCATCCGAAGGCTCTAGCCCTAGACGGCTGAGCTTTTGCTGCGGTGCTGAACGGTGGGGCGGTGCTGCGGTGTGGAACTACACACTGTACAGTAACTGTATTTGCTGACTGCCAGTTTCCGAGGTTGACGCCGCTTGATTGGAGTAAAAACTGGCGGGAATCGCGCTTCTACCAGTTGCGTGGCCGTCTTATTGGTGGACGAGCTTTCGCGGACTGACATGATCCATCTGAATGATGCACGAGATTCCAAAGCTCCGATACACGCCACAGAGTTAGGTTTGGGTGTGTGCTTCAAAATGACTAACGTTTGAAACCTTTCACTAAATAACTACAGTTTTGGACTGGATCTTGATTCAACGAATGAAAATCAGATGACTTCATGGCAAGATTGCTCTCAATACTACTCCATGACAGGCATGATCTGGTACATAAAAACGATTGGTCTGTGTGACGCATTAGATGCATGACGGACCATTGTTGGAATTAAGTTATACCATATGTGTGATACTTATATCGTTATGCTGCCACAGTATTCAAACCCATAAAGAAGCACCCTCTCTGTTCATAGGAGGGAGCAGAAGCGGGGGCGGTCGCAGAATAGGCGGCCGAATCTCTTCAGGGCGAAGAGCACCGAGCCAGCTACCACAGCTGAGGTGGCTGCGATGACTGGCGATAAGGGGGAGGAGGAGGAGGCTGCAGGAGAGGGAGGGAGGGTAGGGGGACAGGGGAGGACGGGAAAGGGAGAAGGGCATATGTCTCGGGGGATTGGGAGAAAAGGCACCGAGCCAGCGACCGCAGCTGAGGGGGCTGCGAAGACTAGCAACACGGGGGAGGTGGAGGAGCTTGCAGGAAGGGAGGTGAAAGGAGATGCATGGGATGAATGCTGGAGCGTTGGGGGCTTTTGGGAAGGGGTGAGACACACGAGAGGCTGCAACCGCAGCAGCTTCTATGACCGGTTAGGCATTGGGGAGGAAGGGAAGCGGCGGCATGGGAATCCAGAAGAGAGTGGATAAAAAATGAAGCACCGAATAGCTTGAACCCTGACTGTTAGAATCTAGCAGCAGGAAAATAGTGTGAACTAGCAGGATGCAGGAGTACAAGTAGTAAACCCTAATTTGGTTGTACCCCATATGGGCTACCCCACTACAGCCTAGACAATATGCAGCACATACAGTTTGACACACCCCCATAGGCAAAGTGGGGGAGAACAAGGGGTCACACGACCAGTCAAGAGAAGCAAAACAAGCTCAGGGTGGATCACAACGTCACCACACATTCTGAGCGCAAGCAAAGGGCCACAAGGCCAGTTCACATGCAGAGATATATATGCAGCAATAACAGTACAATGATGGCTACCTAGCAAGAGCCAGCATGCAGGTATATATATAGATCACAGTACAAGCAGAAACTACAGCAAGTGTGGAAACGTAGGCACAAGGCCCAACAGAGTACAAAAGCGCTGATGATCACCAGACGGAAGTGCCTTGGTGAATATATCAGCAGTGTTGGCCCGAGTGGCCACGTGGCGAAGACGAAGCTGGCCTCGCTGCTGCAACTCTCGAGCAAGGAAGTAACGCAGAGCAATGTGCTTCGTTCTGTGCTCCAGTCTGTGCTCCTCACACAAGGCAATGGCGGCCTTGTTGTCGACGTACAGCACTGGAGGAGAACGAGGCTGCTCTCCCAAGTCAGTCAGCAGGTAGGTGAGCCAACGTAACTCCTGTGCAGCCATGGCGGTGGCGTAGATCTCAGCCTCACAACTGGAGCTGAGAACTGAAGACGAGCGTGTAGAACGCCACGAAACTGAGCCAGAGCCAAGGCTGAAGGTGTAACCCTGTGACGACCGCTGAGTAGCCAGGTCGTCAACCCAAGAAGCGTCTGAGTGCCCAGTGAGGACAACTGGGCTCGTCCCTCCAAGCACTAGCCCCATGCCTGATGTGCTGCACAAGTAACGCAGTACCCTCTTAGCAGCAGCCATGTGCTCAGGTCGGTGCCGACCAGGAGCCACGTAGCGAGCCAGGAGACCAAGAGGGTACGCGAGGTCAGGTCGAGTGCAAGTCATCAGGTACATGAGGCAGCCGACTAACTCTGGGTAAGAACCACTCGGCTCTACGGACTCGTCCGAAGGTGGAGCAGAGAGCGTGTGACCTGTAGCCAGAGGAGTGGCCTGTGCTGAGGACCAGGTGAAGCCGAAGCGCTGAAGGACCTGCTGCACCATGTGTGACTGAGTCAAGGTGATGGTGCGACGTGCTCTGTCCCGGGTGATCTGCAAGCCAACGTAGATGTGCAGCTCACCCAAGTCTGTGCACGTGTGTCTCTTCTGCAGCTCCGACTTCACGTGGGCGAGAGCCTCAGTGTCAGCAGTGGCAAAAACCAAGTCGTCGACGTACACGAGGATGTAGAACGGCGGCAGTGAAGTGTCGGTGCGACGGGTCAGCAGTAGAAGGCGCGAACCCAAGAGCCGCAAGCGTAGTCCTCAGTGTGTCGTGCCACTCACGTGGCGCCTGGCGGAGACCGTAGACCGGCCGCCGGAGGCTCCACTGGGTACCAGGAGGGAACGACCCAGTGAAGCCCGGGGGGCGGCGCAGCCAGATCTCCTCGTGCAGGCTGCCCTGCAGGAAAGCTGTGCTGAAGTCAAGAGAGTGAAGCTCGTAGTCACGGTGAGCAGCAACGTGCAGCAGCACCCGAAGAGTGGTCATCTTCGGGGTGGGGGAGAAGGTCTGGAAGAAGTCAACTCCCTCTCGCTGACTGAAACCTCGAGCCACGTAACGCGCCTTGAAGACAGGCGGAGAACCCGGCGGCCGCTTCACCCTGAAAATCCACATGCCACTGACGATGTTCGCCCCAGGTGGGGGAACCTCGTCAACGTAGGTGCCTGTGGACTTCCAGGAAGCCATCTCTGCGTCCATGGCTGCCTGCCACTGAGAGGAGTAGGGACCCTCTATCGCCTCTGCGTAAGAGCGCGGAGTCGGGATGTCTGGTGCATCCAGGTCTCCCTCAGGGGCAAGTAGCGAGGACACAAGATGAGGTAAAGCAGCAGCAAGACACAGGAACTCTTCCTGCCTGTCCTCAAGGACGTCCGTGCTAAGAGCACACTCACCCTCGACGGACGGAGGACAGACAGACTCAGACTCAGCAACAAGACTAGCGGCGTAGTCTAGACGACAGGCAGCAGCAAAGTCAATAAGCTCAGCGACCAAGGCAGACGCAGCAGTAGACTCAAACGACGGGTCAGTGACAACAGTGGCTAGGAGACGCGTGACAGTAGGGTGCTTAGTACGAAACCGGTCAGACTCAGGGTCCGGAACGGCAGGCAGAGAGGACGCAGGAGGAGACGGCAGAGGAACAGGCTGCGGAGCAGAGGAAGGACGACGGACTACGAGGTGTGCGCCGGGGACAGCCGGCTGACGCGAACGAGGAACACGACGACCGGTACGACCAGGACGAACAGGCGAAACAGGACGCGACGCAGGCTCACGACGCTCAGCAGGACTACCAGTCAGCTCAGTGTAAGGAGAAGGAGCAGGCAGCGGTGAGCCAGACTGTAACGGAAGACCAGTAGACGACGGAAGAGTAAGAACCTGACGAAGAACAGAGGCAGACGGCGGCAGAGACGACGGAGACGGCGGAGCGAAGAACAGTCGTGTCGGCACAGCTGCACCAGTACCAGCAGCTCCAGCAGCTCCAGTGCCTTCAGCAGCCTCAGTACCTCCAGCAGCTCCAGTACCTCCAGCAGCTCCAGAAGCTCCAGGCCCAGAGCCGACACCTCGAGTCCCAGGGTCTCCAACCTCTGTGTCTCCAGCAGCAGCACCCCCAGAACCAGCACCTCCAGTCCCAGGGTCTCCAACCTCAGGGTCTCCAGCAGTAGCACCCCCAGAACCAGCACCTCCAGCCCCAGGGTCTCCAACCTCAGTGTCTCCAGCAGCAGCACCCCCAGAGCCAGCACCTCCAGTCCCAGGGTCTCCAACCTCAGTGTCTCCAGCACGAGCACCTCCAGAACCAGCAACTCCAGCACCTCCAGTAGACAAAGGACCAGCACGACTCCTAGCTCCAGCAGCGCGACGCTGACGGCGACCGTACCAGTCCTGCAGCTGCTGTGGGGTGAGAGGCACACGTGGACGAAGGCGGCCACTCCAAGGAGACCGCGCAACAGCAGACTCAGAACCCTCAGCGCCCGCACCCCCAACGGCTCCAGAACCTCCGGTGTCAGTACCCTCAGCACCAGTACCTCCAGCGGCTCCAGAACCTCCAGCGCGAGCACCCTCAGCAGCTCCAGAACCTCCAGCTCCAGCGCCACCAGTACTAGGCCCTCCAGCAGCTCCCGAACCTCCAGCGCCAGCACCCTCAGTAGCTCCAGAACCTCCAGCGTCAGTACCGCCAAGCTCAGCACCCCCAGACCCCTCACACTCAGGCTCAGCACCACCAGGCTCTACACCCCCAGAAGTAGCACCCCGAGCAGGACCACTCTCAGTAGGACCTGAGTCACCAGTGACCTCAACCGGCGCAGTCAAGGGAGGAGGGTCTACCTGAGAAACACCTGAAGGAGCAGGACCGGGAGCGGGGAGGGGGTCTACCTGGGGAGCACCTGGAGCGAGGAAGAGCGGCGGGGGGGGAGCGAGGCAGTGCGGTAGGGGAAGAGACGGTAAAAGGGAACCGACTCGTCGAACGTGACGTCCTGAGACGCAAAGACACGGCGCGAGGTGGGGTGGTAAAACTGCCAGCCAGGCGCGTCAGGGACAAAGCCAAGGAAGACACAGGGAACAGCGCGGGCGGAGAGCTTGTCCGCGGTGGTATCGCGGACAAAGGCACGAGCACCCCAGACCCGGAAACGCGACGCATCGCCAACCTTCCCCGTCCACATCAGTGTGGGCGAGGTCTCCGGCAAGGAGACACGGGGCCAGAGGTTGAGCTGATGCGCGGCGTACCTGACCGCAAACGGCCACAGAAAATGGGGGGCAGCCGCATGGATCAGGGAGGTACGAGCGACCTCCATAACTAAGCCAATGCAACCCCATTCTGCTGCGGAGAGGCCGGAAGTGTGAACGACTGGGTGATGCCGTGCTCCGCACAGTAGGCTGCCAAGAGGTTGGAGGAGAACTCACCACCTCTATCAGAGTGCAGACGCAGGACAGGAAAGTCCGACCGGAACCGCTCGCGGAGCTGGAGACGAACTGCGCGGATCCAGGGGATCAAAACAGCAGGGACATCCGCCTTGCTCCGCAAGGGGAAGACCGTGGTGTAACGCGTGTAGTCGTCGACAACCAGCAGGAAGTACCGCTCGTGGCCCTGTCCCTGGACGCGGGCTGGGCCCCACACGTCCAGGTGGAGCGTCTGCAGTGGAGCCTCTGTGGGAGGAAACGAGGAGGAGTGAGGAGCGGCGCGCTGCCGCCCCTCGACGCAAGGAATGCAGGGCGGCGCAGGCGAGGGAGGGAGGGCAGGCAGAGACCTGGGGAGACCAGAGACCAGGGAGCGAGAGTGCATGCTACGCAGGCGAGGCAAGGAGGGGTGACCAAGGCGGTGGTGCCACAGGAGAGTGTCGTGCGACAAAGCGCGACACTCGCAGGGGGCCGCCAGCTGACCAGACGTAGACGCAGACGCAGCTACCTGAGGGGACGCAGTGGTCAGTGTGTACAGACTCGAGCCAGGTGCACGGGTGAACGTGGCCAAGTGCCGGCCCGTCCTAGCACACGTACAGTGAGTCACTCGCTGACTCGCAGGAGTGAACTGGTGAACCCCCCCATCCTGGAGGTCAGCTCCACTCACCAAGTTCGTAGAGAACGAGGGGAGGTAAAGACCTGACAGGAAGCCAGACGGGACGGCCGGACACGGCAGAACCGTGGAGTGGTGGGCAAAGACTAGACCCCCAGAGGGGTCCGCCAGGGAGACCGGGACTGGCCGACTGAGCGGCGTGAGTGCGGTGCAGTCGCGAAAGAAGGAGCGGGAAGCTCCTGAGTCAAGGGTGAAGGTGTGCGAGACCGCAGTGGGCGCAGTACCAGAGAGAGCAGACTCACCAGCACCTGAAGCCACGGCCTCACCAGTACCTAGAGCAGTAGACGTACTAGCACCGAGAGCAGCAGCCTCACCAGCACCTAGAGCAGGAGACGCACTAGCACCTAGGGCAGCAGCCTCACCAGGGTCAGGCGGTACGCACAGGTAACAGGCACGGTCAGCACTAGTAGACAAGGCATACATGGCAGTGAGAATAGCATCATAGTCAAGCGCAAAGATATCTACCCTCTGTCCATGCAGCTCCAGCCAGGTGGGGAGCTCAGCCTCGTCGCCAAACACTGTGCGCCAGTCGTCGCTCAGACGGGCGAAGCAGCGGGACTGTGTGTGACCAAGCGTCCCACAAGGCTGACCAGTCCTAGCACCTGTGCGAATGACGTACGGGCAGCGAACTGTACGTGTAGACCTGCTACACTGAGCGTACCACTCCTGGAGCTGCCGAGGCGTAAGTGGCTCGCGTGGACGCCCCTGCAGCTGCAGCTGGCCACTGCTAGACGCTCCCAACTGACCAGCCCCAGGGCGACAGCTACGACGGCTACCGCGACAACCCCAGCTAGTATACCACTCACTAAGCTGCTGGGGCGTGAGAGGCTCGCGTGAACGTCGCTGGAGCTGCATCTGGCCACCTGCCAGTAGCAGTAGCAGCAGCAGCAGCGCGGGCAGGGCAGGCGTGGCAGGCAGGCAGGCAAGCAGGCAGGCAGGCAGGCAGGCAGGCAGGCAGGCAGACAGGCAGGCAGGCAGGCAGGCAGGCAGGCAGACAGACAGGCAGGCCGGCAGGCAGGCAGGCAGGCCGGCAGGCAGGCAGGCAGGCAGGTAGGCAGGCAGGCCGGCAGGCAGGCAGCCAGGCAGGCAGGCAGGCAGGCAGACAGGCAGGCCGTCAGGCAGGCAGGCAGTCGCTCACCAAAGGCTGGGAGAGCAGGCGCTCACCGGGCGAGCATGGCCGGCGCTCGACAGCGGCGACGTCGGGGCCGCAACACCGGCTGCAGAGCAGGGCCGAAGCAGCTGCAGGGCGGGGCCGCTTCAGCGGCAGTAGCAGGGTGGGGCCGCGTCAGCGGCAGGTCGGGGCCGTGGCAGCTGCAGGGCGGGGCCGCATCAGCGGCAGGTCGGGGCCGTGGCAGCTGCAGGGCGGGGCCGCATCAGCGGCAGGTCGGGGCCGTGGCAGCTGCAGGGCGGGGCCGCATCAGCGGCAGGTCGGGGCCGAGGCAGAGGGCCGCGCGCGGCTCGGCGCGGGCTGCGCTGACAGCGCGCTGAGCTGCTGCAGGCCGCGCGCGGCCGCGCTAGGCAGTAGCGGGCCGCGCGCGGCTCGGCGCGGGCTGTTGCGGGCCGCGCGCGGGCCGTGCGAGGCAGTAGCAGGCCGCGCGCGGCTCGGCGCGGGCTGCTGCGGGCTGCGCACGGGCCTCGCGAGGCCGTAGCAGGCCGCGCGCGGCTCGACGCGGGCTGCGTGGGCTCGGCGCGGGCTGCGCGCGGCAGCTGCGAGCTGCGCGCGGCTCGGTGCGGGCTGCGCGCGGCTGCAGCGGGCTGCGCGCGGCTCGGTGCGGGCTGCGCGCGGCTCGGTGCGGGCTGCGCGCGGCTGCAGCGGGCTGCCGAGACTCGGTGCGGGCTGCGCGGTCTCGGTGCGGGCAGCGCGCGGCAGCAGTGTGCTTAACGGTCTGCAGGGGCTGTGTGCGGGCCTGACGGGCGTGTAGAGGCGGCGCGCGGGCCTTACGGGCCTCTAGGGGCAGCGCGCTGGCCTAGGGCAGCAGGAGGCAGCGCATGTGCAGCACGTCACAAGGCAAGGCAAGGCAGGCAGGTACGTGGGGTAGCGCGGTAACCGCAGCGGTAGGTGGGCCCGAAAAAAACGGTCCTACGGACCTTAGTGCTCTGAAACCATGTTAGAATCTAGCAACAGGAAAATGGTGTGAACTAGCAGGATGCAGGAGTACAAGTAGTAAACCCTAATTTGGTTGTACCCCATATGGGCTACCCCACTACAGCCTAGACAATATGCAGCACATACAGTTTGACACTGACGTATATACAAACTAAGGAAACTTGTTAGGTAACTCACAAATCAGCAGAGCAAGCAAGCGATGCATCAAGGTAACTCACAAGGGATGACGTTTCGGATGAAGAGGTACGTGGAGGCCACGAGCACCACGAGTGCCACCCTCAGGTTCTGCAGAGATACAAACAGGGAGTGCCGGAGGGAAGGTATCGTATGCATGGTTGCATGAAGGGTGGGCGGCCGAGCAGGTGTGTGGGTGACAATAGGGAGGAGCGTGGAGACCACGAGAGCCACAGCGTACCTCTCTTTGCAATATTTTTCATTATTTTTCATAATACCTGATACGAAGGCGTACCCACTTACAGTGTATCTCTCAATGCCCGTGCGTGTGAAAGGAGATGGAGGTTTAGTGAGCACCTTCAGTGGTTATAACCAGTTTAGTGGCTTAAGGTAAGACCAGCAAACCATGTATGTGCACTTACAGTGTATCTCTCAATGCCCGTGCGTGTGAAAGGAGATGGAGCGCCTTGCTTGACCGTATAGTTACCCATGACCAAATCCAGGCCGTCCTGTAGGTATTGAGGGGAATACAATAAGGGGTACAAGGACGGACGGACAGGAGACTTGCAATGAATGGCATGCTTGCGCCCTGCTTGCTTGACTGTGTAGTTACCCATGACCAGATCAAGCCTGTCCTGTGGGTAGTGCATGTGGGATAACAAAGAACGGAATTGCAATGAAGGGAACCAGGAACAGGAGACTTGCGGTTAATGGAGATGGATGGAGTGCTGTGCTTGGTTGACCATGTAAGCCATGGCCAGATCAAGCCTGTCCTGTGGATGGTGGGATCACAACAAAGGGAGATGGATGGATGACAGGCCTTGGAGAGAAGATAGCAATGAAGGGAACATGGACGGAGGACAGGAGGCTTCCAAAGAATAAGATGGGTCGCGGGATAAGAATGAGGAGGGACAAATGGACGACAGGGGACAGGTGCGCTTGCAGCACCATCCACACACTATCGGCAGTGACCTACCACAGTACACCTTCTCACCTGCCGCACGCCATCAGTGTAGTTGTTGAAGAAGTATCGCATCACAGCGCTGACCCCATCCTACACCACAGCAACCTGTAACCCTCACCTTGTATCACCCTCACTCGTTTCACTCACCCTCACTCACCTGCCGCACGCCATCAGTGTAGTTGTTGAAGAAGTATCGCATCACAGCACTGACCCCATCCTGGAGGAACCCCTCCGGGCTGCGCTTGCCATACCTGCAGGGCATTTATGAGGGGGTGTGGCAGTAGCAGGGATGGTCAGAGAGACCTGTGTAAAGGTATGGGAAAAGCTAAGCCATCACGGCACTGACCCCATCCTGGAGGAACCCCTCCGGGCTGCGCTTGCCGTACCTGTGGGGCACAGCAGGTGTGACAGTCAAGAGGCAGGACAGAGCGGCATGTGTGGAGGTACAAAGCAAGCAACCTGTTTGGGGCAACGGAACAGCCTTTTAGGCGCCTCAGAAGCCATCCTGGAGGAAACTCTCCGGGCTGCGCTTGCCTTACCTGTGGGGCACAGAGGGTGTGAGAGTAATGGGGGCAGAGTGTTCGGTTTAGAGTAACTGGAAAAGCAGAGAGTGTTCGCCTGGATAGAGTGAGTGGAGGGTAGAGTGTGTGCGTGCGATGCGGAGTGTGTGAGTGCGAAGCATGGTGCCTGGAGTGCACAAGATAGAGCACCAATATGATTCCACACACAGTCCTTTGAGGTGCTTCGTGTGAGTGACGCTTACGGGACGGAAGGTGGCGCTTACCGCACATAGTCTCCCTTGAGTGCTGGCGTGCCCGTGTACTGTGTGCTGATGTCATCACCATGGTCCGCCCACACTGACAGGTAGCACATCGGGAAAAGAGGAAAGGTGAGAGAGAGAGAGAGAGTTATTGGTCTGGTACGTTGTGCGATAATGTGGATGATGTGCAAACATACCCATGTGTACTGTGTGCTGATGTCATTCCCATCGTCCGCCCACACTGACAGCAAGCATTCGGGAGACGGAGAAAGGAGCGAGAGAGAGGAATTAGCAGCGGTAATGGGGAAGAAGAGCGAGGTGGCGGTTCAATGGGGAAGGAAGGTGCGGGTGAGGTCTGCCTAGAGTGGTGGAGTGCCTTTTGAGGCGCTTCAAAATTCACCTCGGTGCGGGTGAGGTCTGCCTAGAGTGGTGGAGTGCCTTTTGAGGCGCTTCAAGAATCACCTCGGTGCGGGTGAGGTCTGCCTAGAGTGCTGGAGTGCCTTTTGAGGCGCTTCAAAAATCACCTCGGTGCGGGTGAGGTCTGCCTAGAGTGGTGGAGTGCCTTTTGAGGCGCTTCAAAAATCACCTCGGTGCGGGTGAGGTCTGCCTAGAGTGCTGGAGTGCCCATCTCCTTAATGCCTCTTCTTCTTCCTGATTCTCCTCTTTTCCTGACTCCACTTCTGCCCACACCAACTCATCCACTCACTGATCTTGTACTTGGCGTCAAAGTCGCTGTGCTCTGCCACCGTCTCGTCCTTCCCCAGCAGGCCCTCAGCTCATCACACTCAGCATACATCTCCCCTCTGTGTTGAATTTCCCCTTTTCGCCACTCACTGATCTTGTACTTGGCGTCAAAGTCGCTGTGCTCTGCCACCGTCTCGTCCTTCCCCAGCAGGCCCTCAGCTCATCACACTCAGCATACATCTCCCCTCTGTGTTGAAGTTCCCCTTTTCGCCACTCACTAATCTTGTACTTGGCGTCAAAGTCGCTGTGCTCTGCCACCGTCTCGTCCTTCCCCAGCAGGCCCTCAGCTCATCACACTCAGAATACATCTCCCCTCTGTGTTGAATTTCCCCTTTTCGCCACTCACTGATCTTGTACTTGGCGTCAAAGTCGCTGTGCTCTGCCACCGTCTCGTCCTTCCCCAGCAGGCCCTCAGCTCATCACACTCAGCATACATCTCCCCTCTGTGTTGAATTCCTCTTTTCGCCACTCACTGATCTTGTACTTGGCGTCAAAGTCACTGTGCTCCGCCACGGTCTCGTCCTTCCCCAGCAGGCCCATCTGCCTCAGCTCATGCTCCAGCACATGCCGCGCAAACCAGCTCTGCAAAGAGGGGTTGGGGAGAGGGGGGGGATGGCGGGGAGGGGGAGATATTACTGACTCACCCAGCAGCCCCATCTGCCTCAGCTCATGCTCCAACATGTGCCGCGAGAACCAGCTCTGAAAAGAGGAGGAATTGGAAATTGATTGGGTGATTTTTGGGAATTCTCAAAAATTGCCTCAACTCATGCTCCAGCACATGCTGCGCAAACCAGGTCTAGAAAGGAGGGGGGCAATGGGGGGCAATGGAGAAGAGGGGGCGATATTACTGAGACACCCAGCAGCCCAGCAGCCCAGAAACCCCGATGTGCCTCAGCGCATCCTCAAAACCAGGGTGCACATTCACCTGGGTGGGCATCAGGGGTTATCCCTTGATGCCCACATTACGGCCAAATTTCGCCTAATCCCCCGAATTTACTGTTCCCCATCCTGAATGTGTACCCCGGTTTTAAAGGCATGCCTCGGCTGAACTTCTCGAGTTGGCTCTCAGGTGGCAAGCAGATCGCTGGTGATTATATCTGGGCCTTGATTCCACCAATTCATTCATTACTCATCTTTATTTCAAGATACATAATATGTTGTATATCACCACCAGAATACTACCCCTCATCACCTGGGAAAGGCACCTGAAAACCCACCTGAGTGACGTTGGTGTGGTCCAGGCAGTCAACGCAGTTGGTGCACACTGTGTCATGCTGCTGCTACCTGAATAATCACCTGAGAGGCACCTGAGAACCCACCTGAGTGACGTTGGTGCGGTCAAGGCAGTCAATACAGTTGGTGCGCACTGTGACATACTGCCGCTACCTGACAAATCACCTGAAAAAGGCACCTGAGGACCCACCTGGGTGACGTTGGTGCGGTCAAGGCAGTCAACACAGTTGGTGCGCACTGTGCCGTGCTGCTGCTTCTGCACCGTCCCGTCCTTGCCTTGCAGGAAGAACCTGTCGGAGGGGAAAGGAGTGGTGAATTTGTTAGGTCTAGGGAATAAATGAGGTTCGTGATTTTGGGCGCTTCAAATCAAGCTGGTGCGCACTGTGCCCTGCTGCTGCTTCTGCACCGTCCCATCCTTGCCTTGCAGGAAGAATCTGTTGCGGGAAGAAAAAGGTAGGAGACAATGACAGGGGCAGAAAGAGGAATGATTCGTAGTCTGGATCGCCTCTATGTGAGTTGGCGCACACTTTGCCTTGTTGTGTTCTTTCCATGCTGCTTGCTTCTGCACTGGCCGAGCCTCCTTGTACTGACCTGCCTGCCCTTGTTTTGCAGGGAGAATTGACAGCAGCAGAGCAGAGAATGGAAGGGATGGGAGACGAGTGAGAGGACCGCTTCAGGCTGGTTAGAACGTGTCACTGGCACATGATTCTCCATGGCACGGACTCTTCACTCATGATTCATCCATACTTTACGGTGAATCACGAAGAAACTGGTCGTGCAACAGGGATCACACTAGAGTCAGCTGAGATGATTGACTGGCATGTGATGGTAGAAGAGCCAGAGAGAACTGGGGCGTGCAGAAGCTACTGTTACTCATTCCTGAGTCTTCATGTCCTTGCCAATCTAGCTGAGGTCATGGCTGACATCACGCGATCATGTGATGGTAGCAGAGCCAGAAAAAGAGGGGCTAAGGGAGCAACTCACCCCTGTGCCTCCATGTCTTTGCCGATCTGATCATCCAGCTGAGAGAGCTGGTGGTACTTGGTAGCTCCGCACTCGTGGTGAAAGTCAAACGGCACGTAGCTGGTGAGAGAGAGAGGGGGGTAGAGCAGGCCCGTAGGGGGGAAAGAGAAGCGAATGCTGAGGTAAATGCAATGCAACTAACTGAGGTGCAAGCTGGTGGTACTTGGTGGCGCCGCACTCGTGGTGGAAGTCAAAGGGCACGTAGCTGGTGGTAGAGGGAGGTAGGGCAGGCAGAGCCGCAGGGGGCAAGAGAAGTGAATGCTGAGGAAAATGCAAGCAGCTGAGGTTCAAGCTGGTGGTACTTGGTAGCTCCGCACTCGTGGTGGAAGTCAAACGGCACGTAGCTGGTGTGAGAAGGAGAAAAGGGGAGGGGAAAGAGAAGGGGAACAGGTGGTGTTGTGTGAATGGCAAGCTGCTGGTGGTGGTACTTGGTGGCAGCACACTCGTGGTGGAAGTCAAATGGCACGTAGCTGGTGAGAGGGGAATGGTAAGGGGAGAGGAGGGGGCGAGGGTGATGAATGCTGTGCTGAGTACATAACATTGCTGGTGGAACCACACTGCTGCCCGAAGATGGTTGCTTTTTATTTTGCATCGCAAAAACCAAGCGCTTAACGCGCACGGTTTATGCAAGCAAATTGAGTACATGGTATGGTACGTGCGTGGGCTTTTGAGTCGACTCAAAAGCAAATTGAGTACATGCTATAATACGTGCACGAGTCGTCCTGCATGTCAGAGCCCTTGATGGCGTTCACAGCTCCAGCATATGCTGCTGAACACTAGGCGTATGCATACATGATGAATACGCTCAGAGTATGCACATGGTACATGCATCCAGATGCCTTACCGCAAGGCAAGTCAGAGTCCTGGATGGCGTTCACAGTCCAGCATATGCTGTTGAACTCTATGCGTATGCTTACATGAAAAAGACGCTCAGAGTATGCACATGGTACATGCATGGATCATACATGCATGGGCCATACCGCATGTCAGGGTCCTTGATGGCGTTCACAGCACCAGCATATGCTGATCCGATGCGGCTCTCCCCACCGTGCTGCCATGCCATGCATACAGTGCGGGTGGTATGCATCACACACACCGTGACATGACATGACATGCCATGTCATACCATGCCATGCCATGTCATACCATGGCACATCCAAAGCATAACGCATTGCAGATGCCACCCTCCGTAGCAGGGCATTCCATTCCACTCCATGCATGCACATCGCCAACAGCAGCCAACAGGATTGCAGAGAATTATCAGAATGGAAGCTTTTGAGAATTCTCAAAAGAATCATCAGAATGAAAACGACATACTCACAGTTGCAGTGAAAGAAAGCGAGTAGTAAAGCACGGGACTAGTCACTAACTGCTGGCTCCCACTGCATGACTGGTTGCTGCAGTGGCCACAAGTCTGACTCTCAGCCATCCCACACGGTCAACCAAGCCAAGAGAACAGTCAAGACTGGCCTCGTTACCCTACTTTGCATGGTTGACTGGGTCAACAGGTACACGCCCACTTGGCTTTTCCAGTACCTGGATGACCAGGTCAACAGATAACATCGCAGTTTCCCAGTAGTTGACCAGGTCAGCGGGACACTGCTGTAATTTCTTCCCCAGCACGGTACCTGGTTGACCAGGTCAACAGCAATGACAGGGCCGTAGATCTCCTTAAGCCCCCTAAGGTGCTGCCTCAGGGGCGCTTCAAATGGCTGCTGAAAGGGGAGGACGGTGGGAGCAGGAAGGG